TACAGAGCTTTGACATTTTTCCTGTATCTGTAAAWATAAAAGGGTCTCGTCTCAAATTCCAATTTGTTTATAGAATGAAAGCYAAAAGTKTGTTAACYACTGGCTATTAYTARATATAWTATRATGTTCAATGCTTYTCAATAGTGGGTGCAGAATCRTCRTCACTACAAAGCAGGTTTTGATGGATRTCAATCAATGCTTTTCCATGACATCCACCAAAATCCTATTTTGTTACTGCGTGATAACTTACGAGTATGATTTTGTCTGATGCATACAACCCTCATAAAGCAACTAGTAGGATTTATTTCATTTTAAGAGGACTTGCACATGTTTTACAACTTTGAAGAGAGCACTGAATGTTGCTTTATGCATTTATCATAGGAAAACCYAGGGAAATTTGACATTTAAAATTTAAAAATTTCATATTACCCACCCCGGAACAATTGATGAAAGCCAATTGGAATTTTCACCCTTAGTACATGTGTTTATAATTATATTTTCCGGCTTTTTCAAGATAACCATGTCAAAGTGGGGGCATTGAATAATGTCAACTTCCTGAGGGTAGCCCACATCCCCCCATGGACTTCAYGTTTATAGGTGCATATGGAATTTCATCATTCCTCTCTTACTAACAGAAATAAATGGTTCCTGTATTACTGTASAGAGGAAGATAGCTTACTTTCTGTCTAGTTCTCTGTACACTTGCAGAAGCCAACGATAAGAAGGTTTGTTTTTGCTTGTGAGTCCATAATGAAAATATACAATGGTGTAATCATTTTCCACATACTGATCAAGGGTATGCTTGATATACCTGCAGGAAAATTACCAAATATGATATAACATAAATCTTGCTTTCTGATTGGTTGRGACATGTGCATTATGAGAACATAGCACACATGCTTACATGCTTACACTTTCTATTACATCAGCTGTATCCAAAATGGCTGACATTGTAATTTGTACTTTACTGTACAAAATRAATAACAAACTTGCTAGCTGTTCTGTGTGTAGTGCGTGTAGTCATAAAACACTAATTGGGGATTGATTTCAAGGGTGGGGTTGAAACATTAAGGCATCCAAAAAAAGGGAGAAAAGAATATAATAAAACATATTTAGGTACTGCCTAAAAGTGGAGCTCCCGATACGCATGTCACAGGGAGCCTAATTTGAATGAAACTGAAAGGTAAACTATAAGGTCGGGGAAAAAATATYTAATTATTTTTTATTCCAGATGAAGATAATGCAATTATGTTTATAAGATATAGCCAAATTAGTTTTATTTCAGTACTAATGTGTAGTTCTAGAATAYACTCAAACCCCACCCATGGAGGAAATTGGAAATCCTAGGGGAGGGGGGKMRGGGGGTACTTTTACAAATTYCCTCCGTGATGGGGTAGCGATATCTTCTGGAACTACACAATTTCTGGCACAACGGTACTGTTCTAAATTACTAGTAAAACAACGATTTGAACCGACGAGTACCAATTTATGGTCGGACATTTTCCAATGAMAAATTCTAGTCCTGCTGCTACACCAATAATGAATGGTACCGGTACTTACAGAAACAGTTGATGATGGTCTATATATTGTAAAGCTGGAATCCGACTAGCAGAGAATACTATTGTCAATCTACCACTTTTATCTGAACCTGTAAAGATGAAAATATATTGTGTAATTCCAGAAATTATCCATACCCCCCTTGAGTAGGAATTTATTTTAATGCCCCCCCCCCTGCCCCTCAGAAATTCCAATTTTCTTCCATACAAACTTTGTAAATTATTTTTTTCTTATTCCGAAATCCCCTACYCCTTGGAACCCCTCGGAATTTCCAAATTCCTCTGTTGGGGAGAGGGATATGGATAATTTYAAAAACTATCTAACATTCAAAGAAAATAAATGACCRCTCATAATGWGTTTTTCCTGTAGTTCAGYGGTAGAGCATCTGACTGGTATCCGGAATGTCATGGGTTCGATTCCTATCAGGGACTCTTATATCTTTCCGAGTTCCTTTCAACTAGTGACAATGATAAATAACTTCTATAATGACTCTTACTGCGATTTCCACTCTGAYGAAGGACTAGCGTCCTAAATGTTTGTAAGTCTTTTAATCTTTTCACTGTGTATAATTTATCTTTTTATCATTACTGCTTCATCAGAAACACTGACRCAKCTCACACTAGTTTTTAGCTAGTAATCTCTTCTCCTGCGATTTTCATAAACATGCGAACTCTGTGTCTCTGAGTTGCACGGTGAAATTAGTTTATTTCGCTGCCGTCAATCAAACCTAAACAGTCAATACCTTTCATAATTTTGACTGKYGGTAACGAAAAACCAAATTTCAATGTGCAACTTGGAGATGCAGAGTTCGCATGTTTATGAAAAATATTGTGCAAACTTTAACAGTGAGGGCTTTGAACTGTGAACACTTCGGATCATATGGGAACATCAGTGTCTTACCAGAAACTGAAAGAATACGATATCTTGCTACATTATGGAAATCGTTACTCAGCGACAATGAAGGATAAATAGGAGTATCTTCTTTATCTTGTGTTTTTGGCTTTTTAGGTGGGCCTTCTTCCTTATCCATCTGTTCAAGCTCTAAAACAGAAACAAGTGTGGCATTTATACATTACTAACAGCAATAACTAACAACAGTCTTAAACCAGAAATCAGTAGAATATATCATACATTGAGTAAGATTTACATGTGTAGGTTAAACTATGGTAGTCCCTCGATACATGCAACATTATGATTTGCTAAAATCTCAACAATCAAATTATTAAATTTAAAATTGAATGGATTAAAATTTTGTAATAAATATAATGAAATTGAAATAAAACAACGACAGTTATGGTAATTTATACAAATGCTTTCAAACTTAATAATAACAAAACTATTTATAAGATACTGACACATACTTTTAATTATGAGATATAATTTGAATTTTGATAAACTGATCYAAGTACATTCTCTGTAAATTTTTGACGCTTTTGAAACTAAGCTTGAAATTCTGATTATTTTCATCGAAACATGCTCAAATTTGCCAGACTTACTACTACTAAGATGATGATATGCAATTTTTTGCATAAATATAGCATTGAATAAAATTGAAACCCTATCCCAGTCCCTTGATCGTTTTTGAAATGGCCAATAAATCGAAATATGGCAATCAATTTGAATAACTATCCTATGGCGTTACATCCCTGCCAAAATTGATGGTTTTACCATTTTTGAAGTTCATCACATGAATTTTGCATTTGAGTAAATTTTTTAATGCTACCATCTTGCATTTCATATGCTTCATCAAGGGTTCAACATATGTGTTTTATATTTGTCGTTCAAGTTTTACATTCATGATTGTCGTTGATTCATTCTAAACTCCACGCCACGTATTTGTCCTTCGAGTTTCACATTAGTAACTTGACGACTTTTATTTTCAACTCAAGAACCAGAATTGAACTTCACGCTCGGGTGAGCTCGGTTGACCTTGGAAACCGCTGGCATAAAGCAACGCAGTCGTAGGTATGAAAAGAATAGAAAATGGCGGCAGAGTTTGCCCTCTGTTGTTGAAGAGACAATTCGGCAGCTTGATACAAACTGCCAACAGGAGGATGACTGTAGTAGCTTATTGCTTTGTTTAGAGTATCTAAATTGTATCTAAACCGCAAAATTCATATGACAAAAATTCATGCAAAATTCATGTGACGAACTTCAAATACAAACCATCAATTTTGGCGGGGATRGAACGCCATACTATCGTTCTGGACTGATTAGTCTCATTTTCACTTGGAAATATAACAGCGTTTTCACATATTGTGAGAGAGGCTAGTAAGTGAGTGTTGTTTCAATATTGTTTCATCAAATACTCTGTCTCTCAAAACCTCAAAATGAAGTGCGGACACATCATTGGTTAATGGTATAGAGCACAATTAAAACATGTCAAAAAGTAGTCAAAAACATGTGAAAAAGAAGTAAGAGAACTCGTCAAAGGGTTTACCCATGTAGCACACAGAGTATGTCTATAAGAAAAGAATTCACCTTTTCAGCGYTAGCTTGGATTGTGTTGCGGTCACCAAAAAGTTCGGACATCGTTCTCGGATTCCCATACAAATTCACTGACTTTAAAGAGAAAATTTAGGTAGATTTCTTTAGTTAGCTATCTTAACAGCAGTAAGAAAAGCTTCAATCAAGCTAGAAAAATGATTATTTACTTGTATTTAGAGAACYAACTAAACATTAACCAAGTAAATAGATCATTTTAGAGTMAGTACATTTGTTCGGAAATTCRAGAACAATGTCCAAACTTTTTGGTGGCCGTAACACAATCTAAAGCAATTTATACCACGTGACGGCTAGTGCCGAAAAGGTGAATWAACTGAAATAATATTTCAAAAATTATTTCGAAACATCAAAAATGTATAAAAAAGACMGAGTCGAATTGCTTTGAATATATAAGCTTAAAACAAATGATTTAGTATTTAAATATTAGGGTTAAGAAATTTAATGAGAATTATGATAAATTAATGAATTTATAAAATTATAATCAATTAATTCAGAGTCGATAAATAGTAAATTGTATTATTCATAAAAATTAGCATTAATACCTTTCTTGGATGCTCTTTCTAAGTCATCATCGAACTGGTTGTGTTCAAAATCCCTTATCTGMTCTGTGTTTTCATTTAAATCATCAGCACTTGAAAAAACAAAATTACTTGCTCCAAAACCACTARAACAACCCTCATTTTCCTGAGATACATAGAGCAAGCCTGGAGCACTGTGCCTCAATAAACTCTTATCCTCCTTTACAGCTAAAGTAGAACTAGATATTCCAGAGTTTTGGGAAGGTTTTTGAGYCTCTTGTGACGAGGAAAGTGGATCAAATTCTTCTAAAACTTCAGTGGGATCGTTCCCGCCAAGCGTGTCAAAGTCAGCTACACCAAATCTCTTCCCAGAGGCACAAAAATCACCTGGAGTTGAGTGTCTTGCATTTGGAGATAATCTTACGTCTGTAGTTTGTTCTTTTATACTTAATTCCTTGTTTGAATTACCAGAAATAATTGGTTTTTCTTCAAGTCCTGCACCAATATCCACCAAGTCCGCCATGTTGAACGGCTATCTTTTCCAACTGGTTCAGCTAATTTGAGAGAAAAAAAACAGCTTCTTGATCTGAATTACATACCATGGACTTAGTAAGAGCTTCTTTTGTATTCTTGGAGAAACGAAAATGAAAGAATTTCGTTAAAATTCCTTGGGAATACTAAAACTTTCACAAGCAGCACTAATCAATCAAAACCCCTTGATAAATTAACGCGATCAAAATGTCTTCACTCAGKGGGTGGTAGTTGGGTTAACAATTTTCCCCGACTCCTCCCCACTTGATAACCAAACGAGCCTGCGATTTTCACGTGCGTATGAAATCGAACTAGTCACGATTTCGRAATTTGTTCGAGTTTTGATTCAATTTTTACGCAAATCTAAAGCTTTTTGGAAAGAAGTAACACTTGGAACATCAAGTTTAATATGGGTAGATTACGTAGGAAGCGAACACACAACAAYGACACGCACTTGAAGAAGAAATATCGTACGAAGCGAAGGACAAAGGATTTAGACCAGATTCACGCTGACATGGTTCCTGAACAAGCTGCCAAGCTCCTTTCTCAAGAAGTAAATGTAGATTTGCCTGGTTGTGGGCAATTTTACTGTCTTCAGTGTGCGTAAGTATTAGTACTTCATAAGCCAAGACGAACGCTGTAAGTTATTTATGAAGAAAAGCTCAATAATTGAAAAATATAA